AGACTCTTTCATCAGCCAATCATTGAGTAAAGATGTAGGTTATACTCTACTACTTTGTTGTGTAATTGGTGCAGCGTAACGATAACAACTTAGTAAGCCATTAATCCAACACATCAATTACTAAAGTAAATGTTCTCGTAACTCACAAAAACACTCCAAAACATTGATTCAGAGATAAGCAGAAACTGTATGATCAATTAAATTATATGAAAAGATAAATATAAAACAAGTCAACGCTATCGTCATTTTTAAATTTGGAATGTTAACATATTTGAATTATATCGAAATTACTATCTGTTTACAGACGTTTTATCAAGAAATTAAACTTGAATTGAGCAACTGCATCAAGAAAATTGGCTACGACCCGCAAGAGGTCGCCTTTGTGCCCATCTCCGCTTGGACAGGTGACAATATGCTGACATTCAGTGCGAACATATCTTAGCTCAAGAAGATAATTAAAAGAAAAAAAAACACGAGTTCATGGTTTGACCCTTTTCGATGCTATTGACACAATCCTCTCTTCTCCTGAGCATCCAGGGACAAAGCCGATTCGTCTGCCTCTTCAGGATAATTATAAAAGGGCCGGTAAGAATGTCTGACATGTTCATGTAAATGTTACAGCTAAAGAGGTATATATAAAAGGGATATAGATATTATACTCAGATTAATCAACGTCAAAGTTGTATACTTACTCTAGTTAAGATTTAAATGGAGGTCGAGGTTCTGACACATAATACACAGATTAATATTTCCTATTCTACACACCTATATAGCGACTGCCGTTTTTCTCTCCCCTTTTACCCGAATATTTGGTAAAATGATAAATATAACAACATTTTAGAAATCAAAACTAAAGTTACATTTTGAAAAAGCAGAGAGAACTCAAACTTTAGCCATACCTAGAATTAATAGAGGCCTACACAACTTTGGCGTCATTTGCTGACGGCAACATAGCCAGTCAAACAAGGTTTTGACAGGTTCTTATGATGACGCATCATTGTAAAGTCGTCATCTTTTTTCTGATTGTGGATGCGTAACAGTAACAGTGACTGGGTATATGTCGACATAAATGTTACTTATGGGACACGTGTAACTTACATGCGTAGAGGTGGGGGTAAATACGATACTGACTATTCAAATGATTAAGTGATTTGTAAACATTCTTACCTTTCCTTTGTTATTCGCAGATAATTGAGCAGTACTCTATGAAAATGCGATGGTAAGCAGTTTTTAGCTTTTTCGTTCCATAGGTACAGGAACAGTTTCTGCGGGAAGGGTTGAGACCGAAATGATCAAACCCGGAACGGTCGTCACATTTGCTCCACAAAACGTGACAACTGAAGTAAACTCATTGGAGATGCCTCACGAACAGGTACCAGAAGCAGTACCAGGGGACACCGTTGGATTCAATGTGAAGGATGTGTCCGTCAGATAACTCAATAGAGGAGATGTGGCTGGGGATAGCACTAATGATCCACCAAAGGAGGTGGACAGTTTCATCGCTCAGGTGAGTCACAGAGCTACGTTCAATGGGGCCGTAATCTTACCCATGTACTCTACAATTAACTTGCAAGTTCCATAATTCAAAATTTTAATTAAAAAATAATTGATCATCTTAATTAACTAATATCAAAACATCTAAATTTTATTGCTCTCTTGGTATTGAGAAAGCCTGTAAACACAGTCTGTTTGTTTATTTATTTATTTTTAAAATGTCGTGATGTATTCAATTTACTTCGTATGCGTGTGAAGTAGTTGGAGGTCGACATTAGATTTGCCTTAACTTTATAAAATAGATGTGTAGCTTCTTATGAATGTTCTTATTCATGTACTTATGAATAGATACATTGATATAGACAGTTTAAATGGAGGTAACTGATGATTGTTATTTATATTTTGAAGCCATTCAAAATTGTAAGGATCTAATTGAAGATATTATTTTATCTATATTTTTCATTTTTTTAAGACTAAATTGATTGTTTTCGATTTTTGATTCATTTACATAAATGAACATTCTTAAAAAAAAACTCTTCCGACTTTTTACCTTTATGATTATACATACTGTAGAAGTAGATGTTTGAGTTAGGACATTTTTCCGTGACGACTCGTATGCTATTTGGAATTATGACATTTGTTTTAATTTTTTTTTTATTAAAAAGTCAAGCAATTATGATATTGTTAAATATTAAGATGCCAAATCGTGTCCTCTCGTAGGAGGGTTTCCATACACCACACTCTCTTTCATGGCGTTATACCTCTCACTCTCTTTAATAAATTATAGCTTTATAACTTTTTATATTATTCATAAGTATTTGTTTTTGATTTAATATCAAGCCTGCTTATATTTTTTTATCCTTTCCTCGCTCACCATCACTCCAGCTCCTCGCTATCAAAAGTCCATTATAGCACTAGGTGGCTTAGATCGGATAAATAAACATAAGTATCGTAACATGATATACTGTTATGACAATTCGAATGTAAACATTAAACATCAATTTCAACATACTAAATATCATTTCATTCACTCACTCTTATATTAATTTGATAACTCTTGCACGACTGTCCCATTCATTCGTGTTGGATGCATGTTGTTATATGTTATATCATGACATTCTTGCATTGACAATGCTGTTGAATTACGTGTTTTTAAATGTTTTCAAATGTCCACGTGTGCATTTATACCCGCTGATGAAGTACAGCCGAATCAGCGAAAAATAAACATCGAGAAAATATATATTTCTAAAGGTATATCTTTGTGATGATGAACAATACAATCTCATTGAATCTTATTGATGAATGTATGACATAAATGCACAATAGGACAATCAATCGAGCAAATAATCAATTTGCAGCTTATAATCCTCGATCATCCCGGAACTATCAAGGCCGGCTATTCTCCTGTCATCGACTGTCACACGGCGCATATTGCATGCAAGTTCGTCGAATTACTGGACAAAATTGATCACCGATCGGGAAAATCTTTGGAAAAAAATCCTACATCCGTTAAAGCTGATGGTTCTTGCATTGCTAAGCTTGTTCCCTTGAAGCCAATGTGTGTTGAAAGTTTCTCCGAATACCCTCCTCTGGGTTGTTTAGCTGTCCAAGACATGCGACAGACTGTAGATGTTGGAATCATTAAGGAAGTCGTTAAGAAGGAAACTGTCTGCAAAGCCACCAGGTCTGCCGTGACAGCTGCCAGTAATTGAACATTTGAGAATTCATATCCTACACCATTGCTAGTGATTCCGCGGTCTTTATCACACTGAGTGAAAACATCCGACATAGTCACAAACTTTTTACCTGAATTTCCTACCAAATTATTACGATCTAATTAAATTTAGACTTGTAATTCCATTCCTCTACGATCGTCTATGATACTCTCCAATACTTGTATTGGAGTGTATCATAGAGGAACGGAATTGCAAGTCTAATTTTAATTAGATTGCAAATTATTAAAGCAGTTTTAGATAATTTACAATTATTTTCTCTTGGCGGCATACAGGTCGTAGAAAAGCAAAATACGTTCTGTTCAGGTATAAAGCGGTTGATTCTCCGAACTGTTAGTTCTGCAAGGAGGAAAATGAAACATATATACTTGTATTTTATTTATATTCATGAATAACCAGATTTTTGTAGGTGTTTGACAAATTATTTTCAGACAAACCATATTTAAGTTAGCTATCTCGTCCCTATCAATACTTTGAAGGCTTCAGGGTTGTCAAACTGCCATTGCATGATTTATAAGATGTCATTTCTGTTTAAACAGTTTGTCTACTGTTGCAGAATTAAGACAATGTATGTGCTCTTTGATGTGTTAAATCCACGCACTTATCATTACTATGTAGTCAAGAAAGACCTGTATATGTCAGGAAAGGATTATTTATATGGTGAGGATACCATGCACTTCCTGACAAAGAATTATTTGATTTAACGAAATGAACCTGTTTGAAAAATGAATAATATACAATATTAGTATTGTGCTATGTCAACCTGTACATCTGCAGTAAGTAGGACGAAACAACTGTATTGAATTAAATTGCCAAATTTCATAGGTGCAACAACATGGGCGTATCTTATAATAACCTCATACTAATAAGGGTTAATGGTTATTGTGGCAGAGTTGCTTTGTTTTCCTCATTCTCATTTGTAACTATATATATTGTTATGTACTGCAATGTACTATTGTGTTAAGAATTATACAGTTTATTATAACATCATGCACCTGAATATCCATAATAAAACTTGATTAAAAAAACTGGAACATTCTTTCCTTAATTTATTTTTCTATCAAAACACTTTTTTTGCTGTACACAACCTTTGCTTTGGAACGACTCCGTTCTCTGTTTAGGAGCTTTGTTTTTCAAGGAAGGAAGCTGTCGATAAATTTTAATCGACAAAATAAATGTTCAAATAGCTTATCCTTCCCTTTTATAGTAGCGAGTATTTAAAAAGATAAGATGTTGATATTTTTTGGTGACCTCATACACCTTTGTCTCGATACGTATCGTTGCTAGGATACAGCCCTGTACGTACTTGTCTACGTATCCCAGGTTAAGGTTAAGTAGTACAATGTTGTCTTCTAGTGTTGTAAGAACTGTTGACTCTAAAGTGCTACATTGCATGGTAGTGAACGACTACGAAACCAGCACGGACACGAACATTGTGTTGGACTGTCAAAAATGTAATGTGAAAATCCATATTCTGATCGTTATTGTCTTAATGGTAAGAACTGTTTTATAGATTTACTTGATCACAGTATGATTAATTTACATACTCCGTCCAATTGTATATATTTGACGCAAAAACATGTATACATTTTAAGTATCACCACAGATTTATTATTTGAAATGTTATTTTACTTTTTAATTTGCTAAAAATATTCAATACTATCGATTGGACTTTGATACAGTTGACACTCTCGAGACTACTTTTTTTTTTTAAAAGTTAGATCGGTTGTTGCATCGGCAATTTCGAAATGTGACGTCATTGAAATGATAACAATGACGACCTTGTCCACTGAAATCGTAAAGGATATGTATTGCTCAGATAGCTCGTTCACTGAGATCGTAGAGGACAGACGGATCTCGGATAGCTCGTCCACTGAGATCGTAGAGGACAGACGGACTCGGATAGCTCGTTCACTGAGATCGTAGAGGACAGACGGATCTCGGAAAGCTCGTCCACTGAGATCGTAGAGGACAGATATTTCTCGGATAGCTCGTCTACTGAGATCGTATAAATAATGCTCGGATAGCTCGTCCACTGAAATCGTAGAGGATAGATATTTCTCGGATATCTCGTCCACTAAGATAATAGAGGATAGAGATTACTGGGATATCTCGTCAATTGAGATCGTAGAGAATAGATATTTCTCGGAGAGCTCGTCCACTCAGATCGTAGAGGATAGATATATCTCGGATAGCTCATGCACTCAGATCGTTGAAAAAATATATTTCTCGGATAGCTCGTCCACTCAGCTCGTAGAGGATAGATATTTCTTGGATAGCTCATACACTCAGATAGCTTCCCACTCAGATCGTAGAGGATAGCTATATCTCGGATAGCTCGTCCACTCAGATCGTAGAGGATAGATATCTCTCGGATAGCTCATCCACTCAGATCGTAGAGGATAGATATATTTCAGATAGCCCATCCACTCAGATCGTAGAGGATAGCTATATCTCGGATAGATCGTCCACTCAGATCGTAGAGGATAGATATCTCTCGGATAGCTCATCCACTCAGATCGTAGAGGATAGCTATATCTCGGATAGCTCGTTCGCTCAGATCGAAGAGGATAGATATATCTCGGATAGCTCGTCCACTCAGATCGTAGAGGAAACATATATCTCGGAAAGCTCGTCCACTCAGATCGTAGAGGATAGATATTTCTTGGATAGCTCATCCACTCAGATAGCTTCCCACTCAGATCGTAGAGGATAGATATATCTCGGATAGCTCGTCTACTCAGATCGTAGAGGATAGATATATCTCGGGTAGCTCGTCCACTCAGATCGTAGAGGATAGATATTGCTTGGATAGGTCATCCACTCAGATAGCTTCCCCCTCAGATCGTAGAGGATAGATATATCTCGGGTAGCTCGTCCACTCAGATCGTAGAGGATAAATATATCTCGGATAGCTCGTCCACTAAGAGCGTAGAGGATAGATATATCTCGGATAGCTCCTCCACTCAGATCGTAGAGGATAGATATATCGTCCACTAAGATCGTAGAGGATAGATATATCTCGGATAGCTCATCCAAACAGATCGTAGAGGATAGATATATCTCGGATAGCTCATCCACTCAGATCGTACAGGATAGATATATCTCGGATAGCTCATCCACTAAGATCGTAGAGGATAGATATATCTCGTATAGCTCATCCAAACAGATCGTAGAGGATAGATATATCTCGGATAGTTCGTCCACTCAGATCGTAGAGGATAGATATATCTCGGATAGCTCATCCACTAAGATCGTAGAGGATAGATATATCTCGGATAGCTTCCTACTCAGATCGTTCACAGTCCAGCAGTAGCTATAGCTCATCCAACCAGATAGCTTCCCACTCAGATCGTAGAGGATAGATATATCTCGGTTAGCTCATCCACTCAGATCGTAGAGGATAGATATATCTCGGATAGCTTATCCACTCAGATCGTAGAGGATAGATATATCGCGGATAGTTCGTCCACTCAGATCGTAGAGGATAGATATATTTCAGATAGCTCATCCACTCAGATCGTAGAGGATAGATATATCGCGGATAGTTCGTCCACTCAGATCGTAGAGGATAGATATATCGCGGATAGTTCGTCCACTCAGATCGTAGAGGATAGATATATTTCAGATAGCTCATCCACTCAGATCGTAGAGGATAGATATATCGCGGATAGTTCGTCCACTCAGATCGTAGAGGATAGATATATTTCAGATAGCTCATCCACTCAGATCGTAGAGGACAGATATATCTCGGATAGCTCATCCACTCAGATCGTAGAGGACAGATATATCTCGGATAGCTCGTCCACTCAGATCGTAGAGGATAGATATATCTCGGATAGGTCATCCATTCAGATCGTAGAGGATGGATATATCTCGGATAGCTCGTCCACTCAGATCGTAGAGGATAGATATATCTCGGATAGCTCATACACCCAGATAACTTCCCACTCAGATCGTAGAGGATAGATATATCTCGGATAGCTCGTCCACTCATATCGTAGAGGATAGATATATCTCGGATAGCTCATCCGTTCAGATCGTAGAGGACAGATATATCTCGGATAGCTCGTCCACTCAGATCGTAGAGGATAGATATATCTCGTTTAGCTCATCCATTCAGATCGTAGAGGATAGATATATCTCGGATAGCTCGTCCACTGAGATCGTAGAGGATAGATATATCTCGGATAGCTCGTCCACTCAGATAATAGAGGATAGATATATCTCGGATAGCTCGTCCACTCAGATCGTATAGGATAGATATATGTCGGATAGCTCATCCATTCAGAGCGTAGAGGACAGATATATCTCGGATGGCTAGACCACTCAGATCGTAGAGGATAGATATATATCGGATAGCTCATCCGTTCAGATCGTAGAGGATAGATATATCTCGTTTAGCTCATCCATTCAGATCGTAGAGGAAAGATATATCTCGGATAGCTCGTCCACTCACATCGTAGAGGACAGATATATCTCGGATTGCTAGTCCACTCAGATCGTAGAGGATAGATATATCTCGGATAGCGCGTCCACTCAGATCGTAGAGGACAGATATATCTCGGATGGCTAGTCCACTCAGATCGTAGAGGATAGATATATCTCGGATAGCGCGTCCACTCAGATCGTAGAGGATAGATATATCTCGGATAGCTCATCCACTCAGATCGTAGAGGATAGATATATCTCGGATAGCTCGTCCACTCAGATCGTAGAGGATAGATATAGCTCGGATAGCTCGTCCACTCAGATCGTAGAGAATAGATATATCTCGGATAGCTTCCTACTGAGATCGTTCACAGTCCAGCAGTAACTATAGATCATCCACCCAGATAGCTCGTCCACTCAGATCGTAGAGGATAGATATATCTCGGATAGCTCGTCCACTAAGATCGTAGAGGATAGATATATCTCGGATAGCTTGGCCACTGAGATCGTAGAGGACACAAATGCTCAAAGAGTTTTTTCATGCTTATCCTTTGTTTTCGAATCGAAGACTATCATTTAGTTGTACAAAAAGTTCTAGATGATGAAAACAGGCATGTTGTATTTATATTAAACAGTTATATTAAATCTTAATAATCAGCTGTAAAATAAAATGCTGATATGTAAATGTTAAAGACAGAAATACGATCGTCAGTCTCAATGCTGGACTGTGAACGATTTGTATGCAAAATATAAACACCCCTCATTACCCATTCCCTAACTACGGAAAATGATATTTAGAAGATTTGTAGTGCTATCTGTTGTCATTTGAGACCAATACTTGAGTGCCGATTTTTTTTTTTTTTTTTTCAATATTTTTTGTTTGTTTGTTTAATGTAAATAAAGCTAAATAGTGACTGAAAATTATTCAGGTACTGGTGGCAAATTGTAAAAGACTTCAAGCACAGTTTATGAACTCTTTTAATTATTGAACAATATCACTCATGATTAAAAAATCGAACACCATATCCGTTATCAGAGTGTAGGTAAAAATGAACATTTTAGTTTTTGTGTGTGCATGCAATTCATATTTTCATTTCGTCTTTTTGATGTTTTTAATTGCTGTAAAGAGTTAACAATGTTGTTATTTACATAACTGTCAAAACACCAATTTCATAGTCACGCCGAAAAGCCTGGAGAAAAAATGTCAAAATTCTAGTTCTTAAGTCAGTCTCTGAAAACGTTTCCTGAACATTTGCAATAAATCTTGGCTATGTGATAAGGAAAAAAATACATTCATCACCATTGATGAGAATCGTCATGATTTTAATTGTAGTTAATCAGAGTCTAGCTGAAAACATTCATTTAAAAAATATTTTTATCTGAAATGATTTTACCTTATATATAAGATTAACACTTCGACGATGAGTAGTTAGAAAAGAAAGGAAACGAAAAAGATCTTAAGTGTTGTAATGGGTGAAGCAGATCAATTTTTGTCTTTTCCATATCCCCTTCGTAGAAGACACGAACGAAACCCCCAAATTCTGCAGCGACTCTAACATTGGTCGCCTCATATAGGGCCCGTATGCATGAAACCGTTCTCGTGCTCAAGCATGGGTTCTGCACTTAAACCGATATTTTGTAACTGTGTTTAGTCATGTCAAACAATTAAAAAGTCAAATATTAACATTGAAAACGGTATTCGGCTTTAAGTCTCTTCATTTTCCCCCCAAACATTGGATTTCTCTTTAATTGTTTATATTTTTTAATTATGATCTAACTGGAACAGTTTTCTTTCGTTCTGCAATAGGATTTTTTTTTGCAATAGGAATATCGACATTATGGTTATGGTTATAAGCATGCCCTGTGATTTCGTTATCGCTACATTCCATTCTATATTTGAGTTTTCTCTTTAGCCGTTTGCAAGAATACCCGTAAAAATCAATCTTTTTTTTCATGTTCTGCTCTAGTTTTATCACCGATAAGTCTCAGAAGGATGGAACAGCTCTATGATGCAGTGTAATGTAGTTTTGGCATACTATATCAATACCAGAGTTTTTAAGGGTGCAATAACTTGTGTGTGTGGGTCACGTTCATCTTTCAATATACGAGGTGGTAGACTCTGCTGGTGGATTTCTTAGACTCCAATTATTAATTAGAACAAAGCAAGAACAAAAATAAACGTATTCAACTGGTATTTGTCTCAAAAAACAGCTGTACGCAAACCAGGAAAAATCATACGCAATTAATGTTTGGCATATTTTTCAAACATTATAAAGTGATTGCAACCAGGTTCTGCCTAAAATACCTATCATTGATTATAAAGGGAACAGAAACATATTAAGTTGTTGACATCACCAGTACACTCATAAATTGATGCATATACCGTACAATATCAAAGCTTTCAAATACAACAGGCATAACACAAAACGTTCCTTTAAAATTCAAAATACTTTTTGAGGATCAAAACATTAATTCGCAATAATTAGCTTGCATACTATACCAATCTTCACATGGTGACAAAACAGGCGAATTAAACAGCCAAGATCAGCCCTTGCTGCTTTTCATTGGTATACAAGTCTAGATCACTTAGATATACCCGAAACACATCGAGCAATGTGTCATTACATGTGTGGAGCCGGGTGCAATACACTTATATATAAGTAAAATTAAGAACAGCGTGAAGTTGGTTACTTATTCAATATTTGGCTAGCCCAATATCGGACCGGACCAATGTTGGGCTGGCGCAATATTGGGCTAGTTTGATATTCAAATGTATCTAACATAACAGTTCTTATGCCGCTTTTTCACACCTATACCACAACTGGGCATCTTCTAAGGTATCCACATGCAAAACGGCATCAACGATACCCCAGGCTAAAGATGCCCACTGGGCATCATTTCGAATTTCAGTACATAATCGTTAATTTTTCGTTTTCAACAGGCCACGGCATATTGTTATAGGTCTTATGCCGCTTTTTCACACCTATACCACAACTGGGCATCTTCTAAGGTATCCACATGCAAAACGGCATCAACGATACCCCAGGCTAAAGATGCCCACTGGGCATCATTTCGAATTTCAGTACATAATCGTTAATTTTTCGTTTTCAACAGGCCACGGCATATTGTTATAGGTCTTATGCCGCTTTTTCACACCTATACCACAACT